GATCATTGCTGGGGCCTCCTCTGGCCCCGCTCCCACAGCTCCAGCTCTGCCCTGTGCTGAGGGCTCCAGAGCTGGACGCAGGGCTCCTGGGGGGTCTCAGCAGAGCGGGGCAGAGGGGCAGAATCCCCTCCCTTGCCCTGTGCCCACGGTTCTCTTGGGGGGGCTTAAGCCCTGCTGCTGGGTCAGGTACCATCTCCTCCATCGTGCTCCCCTGGTGCTCACAGGAGTTTATGCATTGACTGGGTTGATCAGGTCTTTTCAGGACCATCATCCTCTGCTCGCATCCTGCAGGTCTGGAGAGCAGAGACCAGTGGACTCCAGCTGAAGGCACGCAAAGCCCTCACTTCAGCAGTGGGCCTCCTTGGAGAGCAGCTCATCTGGGCAGCTCCATCCCGTCAGGCATTTGGGTGCTCCAGACCAAGCAGCTTCTGGGAGAGGCGTGAAGCTGCACCTGGGGCTTGAGCTCAGGCAATGCCAATTAGAGACAAGGCATAATGAGCAATGTCAGGGGTGGCTGGGAGGAAGCTGTCAAAGGAATGCTAAGATTTCCATCTCTTGTCATCTTCTGACCAAGACAGGACACCTTTCTAGGAGGAACAGGGTCATCACACAATGGATTGAGCTGAATGCAGAGGAAATGGAGGGGATCCTCTAGCCAGCGCTGAACGAAAGAAGAAACTAATTTTCTCATCAGGTCTTCAAAGCGTGTGAAGCCACAGCAGTCATCTCCACTGAGAAGAAGCTTGGTTAATCTCTGCCTCTCTTCTCAGACACGCTCCCAGAATGGGGGTTGAAGACAATCCTGCGCTGGTAAAGACAGATGAACTGCAAAGGTGTTCATGTCTAATTTCTGTGGTTTGGTGACGCTTCTCCAGTCCCTGATGCTGCCCGCTCGAAGGTGCTTTACAGACACCCAGGGCTGAATTAATTCTCTGACTCCCCCTGCAACACCAAGGAGCAAACCTCCCCCATAGCCGGAGGGGTTCCTGGCACAGTCCCTCGCTCCGTTTCTGCCAGACTAGGCTGTGGCTCTGTCATGGTTCAACCTGGCAGCCGGCGACTCAGCACCAGACAGCTGCTCGCCCACCCCTCCCCTTCCTCTCAGTGGAGTGGGGAGGAGAATGGACAAAAGGGGGAACTCATGGGTTGAGATAAGGACAGTTTCATAAGGCAACAAAGAAAATACTACTAATATTAATAATAATGAATACACAAAACACTTTATATACAGTACAATTTTCTCACCGCCCAATGACTGATTCACAGCCAGTCCCCGAGCAGCGATCGTGGAACCTGGAACCTGCAGATTTTTCAAATTTTGCAAAAAAGACCAAACTCCGGGGAAAGTTTGAACTCCCGGAAAAGAGAGAATTTGAAAAAAAAAAAAAGGATTCCCACCCCCAGGCCGACTCCCATTCATAACCTGCGCATGAGGTCCATGGTATGGAATATTTCCATTGTCCGGCTTGGGCTGGCAGCCTGGCCATGCTCCCTCCCAGCTCCTGCCCTCCTTAGCTCCTCCTGCTCCTCTTTAGCCAAACACGGGAGACTGGAAAAAGTCCTTAATTTCTTAGCAACAACTAAAAACATCAGTGTTATCAACATTCTTCTCCTACTAAATCCAAAACACAGCAGCTACTGGGAGGAAAATTAACGCTACCCCAGCCGAAACCAGGACAACCTCAAGTCTGAATCGGCAGCAGGAGCAGCTGTTGGACATCTCCCACCTGGGCACAGAGCCCGGCACAGCAGCCCCTCGGGTCTCATCTCCTGAAGCCTCCAGCCACGTGGCAGGCGTTCCCATGTCCTCTGCATTTTGCTGCAGCTGGGTGATCACCATTCCAGCTTGCAGGCGAGAGATCAGCTCCTGACAGCTCTGGTCCATGCCCACCAGCACACGTGTGTTACCAGGACGGGAAGCATTGACGGAGCCCTGGCCCAGGCTGCCCAGGGAGGCTGTGGAGTCTCCTTCTCTGGAGATATTCCAGCCCTGCCTGGATGCGGTGCTGTGCAGCCTGCTCTGGGTGACCCTGCTTGGGCAGGGGGTTGGGCTGGGGGATCCCCAGAGGGCCCTGCCAACCCCGAACATTCTGTGATTCTGTGATTCTGTGATCCCCCGCAGACCTGCGTAGTTCTTCCTTCCTACGTTTTATGCCGAACTGAAGAGCTCACCAAGGTGAAGAGCAAGAGGAAGAGGAGCCCTAGGTGAAAGCTGTAGCAAATGAGAATATTTGCACTGACACTTACAGAGGAATGAAAGTTTTGATGATTATTTCACCACCACAGTGTTATACAGTGCTCACAGACACCTTCCCGCTTTTCTTGGTCTTCGATCCAGCTGGAAAGGGAAGCCATGGCGATGGTATGCCGCTTCCCAGCGAGCTAGAGAGAATGGCTCCACGCTGATTAATGCAGAGAGCAACGAGAGATTCAGGGGCAGAGCAAGAACCCCTCACCACCTCCTCTGCCCGGGCTGCTGACAGGTGGACCAGGATCTCTTCTGCCAGGCAGAGCAGCGGGCTGCCACAAGGAGCTGACCAGATGCAAGACCACTTGGCCAAACCCAGGTACTCTGGGACTCTCACTGCCCCGCCGACTCCTCCACCAAAGTGTTCAAGCACCCGGACGTCGCGCTGGCGAAAGCCAGGAGGCCTGAGAGGCTTTGACTTCCAGCAGGAACTGGGGTCCGTATGAAAACAGGCAGGTGGGTTTTGGCTGACCTCTGCTCCTTCATGGAGAGCATGTCCAAGCAAAGCATCTTCCCTGCCATGGGAACCACCATCATCTTCTCCACCATGGGAAAACTCCCTCCCATGGCGTTACCTTCTCTCCATCAAAACATTCTTTCAGAGGGATTTTTGCCTGGGTGTGAAGCATCAGCAGAAATGTCAGCTCCAGGAGCAAGAAAATGACCTTCATCTTCAGCACGCCTGCGAGAAAGATGAGCTCCACAGGCATGTTCCAGCTTTCACCCCTGCACGCGGATCCTCGGGGGCAGCCGAGCAAACCCTCCCTCGTCCCCCATCCATGCGACGGCTGGTGTGAGGTTGCGTCATCGGCTGGGTTTCTCCCCGCCTGCAGCCGAACGCCGTGTTCCTACTGAGGTCTGAGAGAGAGCGACCCCCGGATCCTCTGCGGAGGGCAGGGAGAGGGGGTGAGGAATTCCCTGCTGCCCCCAGCCCCACCGACGCCTTCCACGGGGTCCAAGCAAGAGGCTCCAGGGTGATGGAGAGCCCCAGCAGAGCTCCTCGGTACCCTGGGGCACGTCCCGCCTGGGCCAGGGGCTGGGTATGTCCTGTCTGCGTAAGTGAGCCCCATTTCATCCCAAGTTCTTCCTTTGCTGTGGGCGAAGCTTCGCTCCCCCAGACTCTTTTTTGCTCAGATGTGGTGGTGTGGAGCGGTGCTCTCCAAACTTTATTGGTCGCACACCCTTGTCAGTGAAAGACTTGTGAGCATGACCCATCAACATATGTATATTTATTCATAAATTATATAAAAGTACATTATAAAATGTATTTATTCATAAATTATATAAATGTACATTATAAAACAGACATAGTAGTAGACATTTTTAAAAGGCAAGATGAAGATTAAATAAACACTAGTTTTAAAATATTAATTTTGTTTTACTTTATTTAATGATGGTACCAAACCCACTTTCTTCCTGCACCCCAAGGGATTGTCTGGCACACCCCCTGGGGTGCACGCACCCCGCTTTGGAGACTGCTGCTGTAGAGAAAGCGAGGATCTCCCCTGGCAGATGACTCTGATAAAAGGGACAAATGGGGTTTTTATCCCCAGTGACTCTGCTGGTCTTCACGGCAAGCTCCACAGGTCCATGCCGTGGTGTGGTCTCACCCGTCAGTGTCCAGAGTTGATGAAGGCTGAGCACTGGGCACGCTGAGGACTTGTGGTGCCCGACCGTTCCCTGCCGCAGGAGATCCCCATCCTCTTGCCCTGGCCGTCACCTCCAGAGACGCACGCCCGGCCGAACCCTGCAGCAGCTCCCACTGGCAGCAGCAGCTGTCCCGACCCATCCCAGGTCTCCCTGTCAGAAGCTCTCCCTCGCCCTGTCCTGAGGACTGCGGGTGGGAAGGGGTGTGAAATCCTCTTCTCTTTCCACAGGAGCTGCCAGTTTTGTAGACGTCCTAAAGACTGGGTTCCCCGATGGGCCGTGCCTCGTCCGTGCGCTCTGGGAGAACGTGTTGCACCGTGACCTGAGCAGGGTAAGGCACGATGGGTTCCTCCCAAGCAATCCTTGGCCCCAGCGGCAACGGGGGGGTTTCCAATCGCAGGAAACCAGTTCCCATAATTTCTGCTAAGTAGGAGTCTTGCAGATCCTTGCATGTCAAGAAATCCCAACCCGGCATCCAGCGGAGGTCTGAGGAGGACATGCTCCGCTCTGCCCGCAGGCGTATCCCCTCGCACGCGCTGAGCAGTGGTCGCAGCGTCCTGTCACACCCGCTGATTTACGACCACCGGGTAACACCTCCCCAGCTCCGCGTGCTGCTGAGGGCCCCGGAACCCCTCCTGAAGGCAGGTCGTGGGCCAGATTAATCTGCTCTCCCCGACGTGCTCAGGTACCACCCGCAGCCTCGTCGCCAGCGTTTGGCACGTGGAAGCAGCTCTCCATTCCCAGGATTAACTTTGACTCCTGAAACTAGAAAGATCAATCCCCTGGCAATGGTTTTCCTACTTATACATATTTTATTGCATTAAGGGAAAGACATCCGGCTCTGCAGTGGCTGCAGGTCCAGCCCAGACGAGATTATTCACCACTTAAAAAGAGATGCAAACAGCAGCAGGCATTACTGCTGTGCTTTGCAGTGTTTCACCGCACAAAGGGCTCAGCTTAGGAATAAAAGCTCTTTCCAGAAAGCCTGACAAAGCCCTGGTGTAGATAAATGATAAAAAAAAACAAGGCTTGCCAAGGGCACCGTCACATCAAAGGCAGCGTGTGGACAGCCAGTACAGCTCCTCTACCCGGGCAATACCTATTTCTTAGGAAAAAAGTTCCCAGAATTACTTATTGGGAGAGCTCCCATGGCCAAGCAATGAGCAATTTTACGAAATCCCCTCCTAGTCTATTCAGGTCGCTAGAGGACGTTGCGTGCCATCCTTCTACCACCAGTTCGAGAGGGTGAAGACCTCTGCAGTGCTCCGCGCTGGAGGGACGGTACCGGCTCCTGGGATGGAAGAGCCACCGCTCGCCTGCCCGGGGCCGTGCCCGCGTCGGTTGGGCTTGCTGAAGCCGGCAGTGCGAGTTTGAGCTGTGCTAGGGGCTTTCAGACACAAAGGAGATGATCTTGTGATGGAGGTACCCAGCCCCAGTCCCCACCGGGCCACAATGGGTCTGAGCATTGGATGCGTCGTCGAGGGAGAGCAAGCAGCCGCCAGCTGTGCTGCCACCAGCACCACGTGGCACCGCCCGACCAGGACCCCCGGAGCCCTCGTGTGTTGGGTCACTGAGAGCCGCAGCACTGCCGTGGGGAGGGTGGGCATTGCTCATCGGCCCTGCCTGAACCCTCGGTGGACATCTGCAACACCCCCCTGTGCAGGGCTTTCCTGATGGCTCCTTTGACCTCGCTGTTTCTCAAGCTGTAGATGATGGGGTTGAGCATGGGGGTCACAACGGCGTACAGCAGGGCAACGACCTTGCCCATCTCGTTGGAGCCACTGGAGTGAGGCACCAGATAGGCAACGGCCCCGGCTCCAAAAAACAGGGACACCACGGTGAGGTGTGAGGTGCAGGTGGCAAAGGCCCTCTGTGTCCCTGCTCCCTTCTGGAGGACAGTCCCGAGGATGTGAACGTACGACACGAGGGTGAGGAGGAAAGAGCCCATTGCAATAGTCCCAGCCAGAACATACAAGGTGGCCTTGTTGAGGGGGGCGTTAGGGCTGCAGGACGCCTTCCGCAGGAAGGGCATCTCGCA